TATTAATTATTAATTTTCTTATCTTTATTACACTGAAAAGAATGTCATATCATTATGTAACAAATGACATTACAAATATAAATGATAAAAAGCAATTTAGCTTAAACAAATCATAATGACAATTTTCTTTAGAAAAAGAGAAAAATATTGGGAATGATAAAGCATTATATCTAAAACAACTTCTAATCTCTTTATACTGTTAGGAAATACAAAACCCCAACATACTCTCAGTAAGCTACTGAAGTGTATGTGGTGTTACTTATGTTGCAGTTTTTTTGTTGTTTTTTCTAAATATGGAAGGTATGTGGAAGTATCAGTTTTATTTTATCATTGTCATCCTAAATGGTTACTTTCAAACTTCAGCTCCATAGTACACGCTGTATCAAACATCTTTAAAGTTCCGTAAGACTTTTTTATGACCAGCAACAGAATTTTCCATATGTACAGGGTCGTCACCCTTAGGATCCCTGGGCCACTTTTTTGTCTCCCTCTAATTTTTCTTTAAATTTTGTCATTAGCCCTACCTCAATTTCAAATCAGTATCAGAAACCTGAGAGCTAAGACTTTTTTCTGGCCCTTCACTAACTGCTTGTAGTTGCCTTTAATATTGTAATAGCAAACTGTTGTATAGATCTCCAATAAAAGAACTGCAGTTAGTGGTACTATGACATGTCTGAGTATAAAGAATGACCGCGCCTGAATTTTTGACAGGCTTTGAATCTACTGGATGTATCTTTGTCTCTAAAGATGCCAAGGGTGAAATTCATCTACCATCCAAACTGTGTAATTTCATAATTGAATATGGTATAAATATTTGCATTCAAATAATGAATCACTTTCTGTGAGATGGTGAGATTGTCTCTAATCTAAAAATCAGTCAACTTATTTCAAAATGTCAGGTACCAATCTTTCTGTCTCAGTCAATATACTTTTGCAAAATCTCAATGAACTTGTTAGACTCCCTTAAGAAAACAGCAGATCCAAGAAAAGATAGGGAAACTCGCCAGTTGTTGGCTGAAAGATGGATAAGGAAGTAAACAAAGCAGGCAAGAAGTACAAGTTCTTGGATGTCATCTGCCATCAATGTCTTACTGTAATCTGAGATTATTGTAGGGTGTTTAACTAACCCCTTTGCATTTCCTTTAAATTTTAGGTTGGCTATACTGAATGAGTACGGTCTAAGTAAGGATCTATAAGGATCTAATTTTGTTATGCTATTATGACATTGGCAGGAGGCTCAGCTCTACTGTTTATCACATGGTTAATGGTTAATGATTACCAAGAAAAATAATTTTCTAGACATCAAAGGTCATATAGCACTATAAAAAGGTGTTGTAGTGAAATGGTTAGAGAGAGAGATTAGTTGATGATTAAATGTGCTACATGTCAAAAATCATATAGCAGTTCAGGATAGTATGGCACTGAAATTGGCAAAGAGGGGCTGGGGTAGAGAGGGTGAGTAAATAGACAGATTAGTTGATGATTAGATAAGAAGTTGCATAGTAGCTCAGAAAGGTAGGGATTAAGAACGGTGACTATATCAAAGTTGTCAAAGGAAGAAGTGTGGGGCTCTGTATGTGTGTCCATAGAGCAGGGTAAGGATTAGTAGAAGGAGAAAGGGTGTTTAAGAGCAATTAGATCACACTTCAGGAGAAATGTCAAGAGGGAGAGAATCCAAGGAAGGGGGCAGAAGTGGAAACATAAGATGGAGGAGGAATAGATACAAGGGAGAATGTAGAAACATCTTGAGAGGAAGGGGGAATGGCTGAGTGAAGGCAGCACTGGAGTAAGGAGTAAGAGGAAAAACCTCAAAGTCAAGCTTACTGTCTGGCCTTGTCTTGTGAAGTAAAGTTTGAATCTGAGAGTTGCCACCGCAAACTCAAACTTGTAGGTAGGGCAGCCCCTATAATATACATTACAGGAGCCAGCACAACTGGCAAATTTGTGTGTTTGTGCAGAGCAGTTTAATTGATCATGACCAGGTCAGTCACATAGAGGCAATCAGGCTGCGGAGCAGCAGTGTTCGGCAGGGTGGCCTAAATGCCAATTCTGATACTGACAGGGTGATGGTTGTCTGTGGAAAGTAATCTTAGCAATGTTGGTGGACTTCTGATAGCCTCTAGGAGGAATGGTGTCTCATTGTACTAACAGTGCATTAGAGTCCACAAAGCAGGCAAGTCTTCACCACAATCTTACCAATTCTTGTCATAAACAAGGCAGTTTGTCAGGGAGATGAAGACAGTTCTAGCACAACTACTGAGGAAGGGATAAGGCTGGGCAGGAATGGGTTTGCAGTGAAGTCAGTCAGAGTTGATAATGCTTTAGCGTAGGAATGTAACTTTGACAAGGTGGGAACAATCGGGGAGGCTGCGGAAGAAAACTTTGCCTACTTGTTTTTTGAGCCATTGTTGGAAGAGGAGAGTGTTGTCAGAGTAAAGGGGTGTTGATTACTTTGTTTAGCCCAGCCAAATGGGATCAAAAAGTTGATCCCATTTGGCTGGGCTAAACAAAGTAATCAAAAGAAGGACATGGCCTTCTGAAAGAGGGAGTGGTGTTGAGTGAAGTAGTACTGCATAGAGATGGATAACAAAGCTGCAGAGTGGTAATACAGGAGGAGTGGGTAGTAGGCGATGAAGCAGAGGATGTTGGGAGAGGAGGAATGTTTCCTGGAGGTTGAGTAATAACCTGGGTGGATGATTTGGATTGGACTGAGGTGATATTAGGCATTGAGAAGGGAGTAGTAGTAATGTTCAGTCATGGTCAGAGGAGAGCATGGGATCATGGAACGATTGGAATTAAAATCACTAGGGCTAGTTGATAAAGGGGCAAGCCTCATTGCCCCTAATAGAGGTATAAAATCTTAATTACTGGCCATGGTAAGCCAAGAGTATGTTCAGGAGAGAAATGGTGTCCCCTTCTGGGGTAAGGGCTAAATAACTAAACAGGGGAATACCATGGCCATGGTACCCCTAGGCCATTCATGACTAGCACAAAGTCAACCTTTCATTCTTTCAACACAGTTCTCACACCTTAGAAGGTGGATAATAGAATGGAGAAGAGAAGGAAAAGAAGAGGGGAAGAAAGAAAACAGCGCAAAATCTGTTGAGTTGAGGGCTGAAGCCAGAGGTAGGGGCGATCCCTGGCATCAGGCCTCAGTTTCCGTCTCCTAAGCCCCCCACGGCAACAATGGGCAAGGGAGTGCAAGGTTATCATATGTAATAGGCAGGCAGGGAACTGGATTTTTTTCTAATAAGAGAATATCATAGCAACTGAAGCAAACAATTTGTAACTGACTGGTATTATCATATGACACCTCATTTTAAAATACAAACCCTCCATTTTTCAGTGGATAAAAAATGTCATACTCGTTCTAATGATTGCAAAAATTCTTTTAAAAGTATCCATATTTCTGTACTTTCCTATATTTTTCTATAAAGCTAACCAACTGCTCAGTCATAGTAATAATAGTAATAATAATAATAATAATAATAATAATAATAATAATAATAAGAAGAAGAAGAAGAAGAAGAATGGTTAATGGTTAATGGTTAAAAGCAAGATGAATGTGCTAGACATCTAAGGTCATGTAGCACTATAGTTAATGTTAGTGAAGGGTGGTTGAGTTAGTGATTAGTTGTCTAAGCTGGGCAAAGGAATTAGTGAGTGAAAGGGTTAAGGTCAGGTGTTATATTAGATAAAGGGTATGCATAAGAAAGGTTTCTTGGGCATACAATAGATGGGTTATAAGAGGAAAGGATATGATGGTCAGGTCTGTGGGAGCGGAAACCGCGAATATTCCAATGAAGGATAGTTATACTTTCGTTGATTTAGTGATATAGATTGTAGTACGTGTTGGAGAATTTGAAGGGGAAGCAGCTAGAGGGTGGGATAAGGACTGAGAGGTTTGAGATGGGAGAGGTGTGGGAGTTGGTGTTCTATCAGGAGGGGTAGTAGGAGATGGAGGGTCTGAGGAAGGGGATACTTGTGACATAAGGGATTCACGTGTGTATCCAGGAGGGAGTGGAAGGGATAGAGGGGATGGTGGGAGAGTTAATGTGGGCAGGGTCAGGGGGGATGGGCTGTGTTGGGAGGGGGTAGGAGGGTAGGGTGTAGGGGGGATATCGTTAGGAGGAGGATGGATATCAGCAATTACTTGGAGTGTGGAAGGAGCAGGAGTTGTAGGTTGAGTGTCGGTTTTCATTAAGTAATCTTGAATATTTTCAATAGTTTCTTCTGTGGAGTTGGTTGGGGAGTTTTGGGGGATAAAGGATTTCTTGTGAGGGGGGGAAGAGAGGACTGGTGTCTCAAGAGTACGGGCAAAGGATGGTGGGGGTGATTGTGTGGTAGGGGAAGAGGGGGTGGAACGTTTGTTCTGTCTGTTACGGGGAGTGCGAGGAGGGAGAGGGGAAGGTGTTGGGGTTGTAGTGGTGATTGGAGTATCTGTAGTAGAGATTGGAGTTTCTGGATTTAGGATGGCAAAAGAGTTTGACTGGGGAAGGTAGGTGGGGTTAGTGGGGGGGTTAGATGTAGGAGGGGTGGGTTTAGGAGAAGTGTTAGGATGAGCAGTATTACTGGAGTAAGGAGTAAGAGAGAATCCACGTCGACGTGCTTCCTGTCTGGCTTCACGCAGTGTGAGTCCGAGTTTGAATCTGAGAGTTATAATAATAATAATAAGAAGAACAATAACAATACCAATGATAATAATAACAATAACAAGAACAGTGTTGAAATTATAGCACATGGATACTGATCATCATAGTCCTTCACACTGAACAGTTGGAGAGATATTGGGGAGGAGGGCACACAGGATTCAATATTCTGATGACTGCCTTTTAAACTCCTTGAAGATGTGGACAATATCTCTTATAATGTGTCCCTAAATTCCTATTTAATGTAAGTATGTACTTTGGCTTTCTCAAAATTTCTAATGATCTTTGGGAGGGGGAAGAAGTAAAAAAAAAAAATAACAATAATATAAGCAACAACAACAAAAAAACAAGTTTCAATAAAACTTTTAATTGACAATATAGTTAACAAAATACAATGATTTTCAAATATTGCCTCGGTAATGATTTAACATTCTTAATGAACTTCCATAGATTCCATCACAACCATACAGGATTTTTTTTTAATGAACATTAAAATCAATAATGAATACCAAGGGGAAGAAATGTTACATAAATTCACCTCTTGATCAATATTTTATTAACTCAGTGAGTAATAAAAAATAAACCGCCTACTTACTTCAATGATATGTCTTCCAGCATTCAAAAACTAAAGGAAGTCATACTTAGACTATCTTCAAATTCTGAACATTAGTAGCTAAAAGTATGTCTGTATTATATAATTCACTCCTTCAAAGGTAACTATGTGTTTTGGTGTTATTACTTACCATCAGCTCCTTATGTTATGCATACTTATTCTTCCATTAACCAAATGTACCATAAAAAACTAGCAACTAAATTACTGGGTGCTAAGGAAATATCAAGCATGAAACATGTACAGCTTCAAGAAACATTTACACATTTTAGGAATATCTAAAACTTAAAAGAAAAAAACGAAAAACAAAGGCAAATAAACATGAGTAAGAAATCACTGGCAACTATACATGTAACATACCTTCATCCTTATTACAGTGAACTAAACATGAACCTCTTGTCTACTACTGCTACCACATAATGTTGCAGAACTGGCAGTAGCAACTGCTAAACTTTTTAAGTCTATTTAACAAATGATAATGAAAGATGGGCTTTTTTGCTTTGAATCAACCACAGTTCTCCTGTTTTTGTTTTTGTTTTATAATAATGAGAACCAAAACTTAAACCCACTATTGACTATTCACACAAGACCTTATTCTTATTATCACCAATTACAAAATATCACATTCACGAAATTAAAATAAGGCTTACAAAATATTTAACAAAAATATATAACCTCTTTTTTTTCCTTCTGCATATATTACAATTTCCAATAAATTCTATGAAAACTATGATAATTACTAAATATGCCAATAAAGTATAAAATATAATTTGACATTCCCTTCTCTCATTCTCAATTTGTTTTTTTTGTCTGTTTGTATATTCATTTTCTGTTCTCTTTTATTCAGGTTTCAGTATGTGTGTGTTAAAAAATCTGTGTTTCTGACTGTCTCTGCATATTGGTTTACATATACCTGTGTCTGTAAGTGTATATGTGTGTAAATAAGAAGTTACATTTAACTGGGCTACCCTCACTGCTCACAAAATTTCTAAATCCCTGACAGCCTCTGAGGCAGGTATTCTTCGGGCTTTAGTTGCATGAAATGAATTTGACTAGCCTGTTGCTAGTTCTGGAACTTCAAGCTAGTGATTTTGTGAGCCCTGAGGCTAATAGAGTCAAATAGCTTCAAAGGGTAATAAACTTAAAAATTAAGAATGAGGTAAAAGAATTATCCTATATGAGACTGCACTTAAAAGCAAATTATAAATTAAAGGAAAATATAATAGATTTTTGAGAGGAATGTGTGTATCCACTACATTCCTTTTTCTTCTATTCTCCAAGGCTATTCTTTCTCTAAAACTGAAAATACAAAGCAAAATTCTGATGACATTGCACTAAATACTATAAAAGCATGTTTATGAGTTTGGATCGAACATTAATCCAAAATATTGGATGCTACCTCTTCTCTTTACATAATCATGAGATAAAAGACTGCTAACTTATAAGCAATACAAACTGTTGTTAGAGAAATCTTGGCATATTTTGAAGAGAAGAAAAAAAAAAAAAAAAAACTTTAAAGCAAACTCACCATTAAATGCCCAAGTTCTCATTTAACTCAATGTCTTCCAATTTACCTTGGCAATTACCTAAGTCTGTTCCTATGTGTTTTTCACTCTTCATGTACAAAGAACAAAATTATGCCTCTAAGCAATGCCTTTCTTTAAATTTTTTCTTGTTCCACGATGTTTTTTCATAACCATATTTTCCTTATACTAAAACATGAAATGAAAATTTGCTTATATCAGCAGTCATGATGGTCAACAAATTTTCTTCGTTTTTCCACACATTCACCTATTGCTGCGTACAACAAGTGCGACACTTAGATTATTTGGTCAAAAATCTTAATGTAACAAGTGTAAGTCTTGTGTAACATTTTTATGTAGTATGTCATCCCTTCATATTACCAAAACTTCCATTACATCTATCAGTGAACAACTATTCATCAATCTGTTTGTAAATAGACCACATCCACAATTACATAATGATTCTCATGTTTACTTAAAATGAGACACTTTATGAAAAATGAATGCCAAAGGGAAACTAATATATATCAATATGTGTGTGTGTGTGTGTGTGTGTGTGTGTGTGTGTGTGTGTGTGTGTGTGTGTGTGTGTGTGTGTGTGTGTGTGTGTGTGTGTGTGTGTGTGTGTGTGTCTGTCTGTCTTTGTGTGTGTGTGTGTGTGTCTGTCTGTCTTTGTGTGTGTGTGTGTGTGTCTGTCTGTCTTTGTGTGTGTGTGTCTTTGTGTGTGTGTGTCCTTGTGTGTGTGCGTGTGTCTTTGTGTTTGTGTGTGTGTGTCTTTGTGTTTGTGTGTATGTCTTTGTGTTTGTGTGTATGTCTTTGTGTTTGTGTGTATGTCTTTGTGTTTGTGTGTGTCTTTGTTTGTGTTTATATTTGTTTGTTTGGGTGTTTGTTTGTTTGTTTGTTTTTGTTTATTTGTGGGTAAATTTATATGTTTCATCTATGTGTGAGTCTATTTATATGTGTAAGTCTATTTATGTGTGTTCATCTGTTTGTGTGTTTATCTGTGGGTGTATTTATCTGTGCATATATTTATGTGTGTGTGTTTATCTGTGTTTCCTCTGCGTGAGTTTATTTGTGTTTGTTCATCTGTTTGTGTGTTTAACTGTGTTTTATCTGTGTGAGTTTATTTGTGTGTGCTCATCTGTTTGTGTGTTTATGTGTGTGTGTTTGTATAAGTTTATGTGTGTGTTTGTGTATGTTTGTGTGTTTATGTGTGCATCTGTGATTCAGCACTTCCATGTGCATGAGCATGTGGATGTAAAATTTGTGACCGAGTCAGAGACAGTACATCAGAGAGTTTGTGAGAGAGACATCATGCATACATCATAAAAGAATTCCTCAATAAACTTCATTCTGACAGAGTCTCTCAGAAAGAAAATACACTTCATTTCTTTCCACAAAAGTACCAAATCATTACAAAATAGAGTACAGACTATAAATCTTTTTGCAATACACTGGATCCACAATATACTTGATAGAGTATTAAGAATACACCCAACAGAAAAAAAGGACACAGGTCATTAAACAATCTACCATATTTACTTGTGACATGTAAGGAAGAGATGAATACACAAAACAATGAAATTTGTTACGTCTAAAGATATGTTAGTAATAAAACTTACAGAATGGTAATACCAGAAATAGTTAACAGGCAAGCAGATATTATTATATGCCTTTATTCTGAGTCACAGACATAAGCCTTAAATATAAATAAACAAAAGAAAAATCAAATATTCAGTAAAATTCATATATGTACCACAATTTTATGTCACTTTTGGACTTACACAACACACAATGGTTTATGACTGTCACTCTTGTTATGAACACAAATTATTTCTCACTACTCTCTTATAGTATGCCAGTATTAAAATACATAAAATTCACAGCTTGAAGCCTTTGGGAATCTCTAAAACAAAATGATCTGACATATTCACCAACACACTTGCCATTAAACCGCCACGGTAACTCTTCTTCTGATCCTTCCATTCTTGTGATACGTTTTGCAGTGACTTGAGGTAAACTTGAGATCAGGTGGGAAGACAGTGGCTGAGGAAGTCACTCACATCTCGGTCTTTTTACCATCATCGGTAATCTGGAGAAATACATTTCATAACATAAAAGAACTTTTGCTTCACATTACATATGCCTACATACTGATTAACTGATTACACTGTGTAAGTGTACATGAGCAGACATATACTAAGGATCTTTTAATACTCTAAATTTATTATTTATATTATTTCACTTTTCATAGTTTAACTAAGAAATATGCCTTAAGTGGGCAAACCTGCAAAGTTTGGCTTTCTGTGACAGTTATTTTTCCCCCCTTGCAAATAACACCCTTTAAAATTGCGAATATTAGGTACTTCTGAAAGATGATTATTGCATTATTGTTTACTGACATAATGCCTTGAGTTTTATTTTTCTTACGTAAAATGAGAATTGTAATTTAGAATATATATTTAGAAATGCAATTTCTTTTAAAATTCAATTCTGGCTCTCTTTTTCATAACTTTTTGGCTTTTGTTACCATCTCCTAAATCCCCATTAAAAAATATGAAGTATTTAGTTCCTACTACTAACAAAAAGAAGCAAAACAAGAACTTAAAAATCAAAACTTTTCCATTACCAAATGAACTTTGCCCCACATCCATAGTGCACTGGGTCCCTACCTTACTAAATAGACAATATTAGTAACCTTAATTATGAATGTTACCATTATCACCATTATTTTACCTTTTTCACACTACATAGTTGTGATTCCTATGATGCACATTTTATTTTATTAACCCCTTTGATCCTGATGACATGACCATCACATTATAAAAATTTTGGTTTGAGGGCTGGATGGGTGAAGATGACAAGGACTTGCCATCATGAGAATTTCAGCCGAAGGCCAGGGTGTCAGGAATGACTCACCATGAGTGCACAGAGCTCTTGGAGGATGATTGGACTCAGTGGGCATTTAGGAAGGGCTTTTGCATTATTTCCCTTGATGAGTTAGTGTGGAATGTATCATCCATGAGCCATGAAGAGCACTGGCTCCAGGAGGATGCAATTTCTAAGCTCAGGATCCTATTCCTGCTCTCCATGACCAGCAGCACAGGTTGTGTTACAGAAAATTTACGAAAAAAAGACAAATAACAAAATTTTACTAATTATTATCATTATTGCACTGAGTTAGATAAAGCAAATAAAATGACAAATATAGATATTGGAAAATGGCAAAAAAGAAAAAAAATGCTTATGCAGAAAAAGAGAATATAACATTGCAAAATAGAGGCATGGAGTCTTGTCACCATACAAGCACCTGGCCTAAAAGCAGCACATCCATCAAGTAAGCCTATTGCCCATATTTTGGGTCACATGTGGGCAGTGAAGCATCCAGATCCAAGGGGTTAAAGTATGATTAATCATTACTGCACAAGTGCAAGAACAGCTGCAAATGCAAGTGCAGCTAATTAATCTGTGAGCCAATATAAACTGCCCCTCAGCTAAAATATAAGCAAAGAACTACATGCAAATTAATAATACGGTGACAGCTGACAGTATGCACACCCAGCCCTGCAATTTACAGAGCTGAAATAATAATACTCTCACAGTACCTGGAAAAGTGGCTCTTGATTTGATATATGAGTTGGAAGTGAACTGTAGGCCGGACTGGCTGGGAATGGTATGTAAGGTAGACCACTGCCCTCTGTGTACCATCGTCTGTAGTAGTAGCGGAAGAGGCCTCCACATGCTGACAACAGAAGGATCAAAAACACAACACCTACCCTGAAAAGTACAATTTGATAAAGATTACATTTCCACATAATTACCACATATCTACTGCTACTTACCACACATGTAAATATTCATGTATGTCACCGCACACTGTGTGTGTATTCAAAATATGCCAGTTTTAAAATTGTATATTGGGTAAATCTGTGTGTGTACATGTGTGTGTGTGTGTGTGTGTGTGTGTGTGTGTGTGTGTGTGTGTGTGTGTGTGTGTGTGTGTGTGTGTGTGTATGTATGTATGTATGTATGTATGTATGTATGTATGTATGTACGTATGTATGTATGTGTGTGTGTGTGTGTGTGTGTGTGTGTGTGTGTGTGTGTGTGTGTGTGTGTGTGTGTGTGTGTGTGTGTGTGTGTGTGTGTGTATGTATGTGTATGTATGTGTATGTATGTGTATGTATGTGTATGTGTATGTGTATGTGTATGTGTATGTGTATGTGTATGTGTATGTGTATGTATGTGTATGTATGTGTATGTGTATGTATGTGTATGTGTATGTATGTGTGCGTGTGTGTATGTGTGCGTGTGTGTATGCGTATATGTGTGTATGCGTATATGTGTGTGTGCGTGTGCGTGTGCGTGTGCGTGTGCGTGTGCGTGTGCGTGTGCGTGAGTGAGTGAGTGAGTGAGTGAGTGAGTGAGTGGATATAAGTACATATGTGTATACGCATGAGTATACAATCTATACACAGGTGTGTATACATGTATTGATGCATGGAAGCATATGTGTGAATGTGTGCATATGCTTGCATGTATGAATGTATGCACGTGATTATGCTTGTGCGCTTACAAGTGTATGTATGTAGAGATAAGTGTACATGTGTGCTTGTATGTATATGTATGACATGTATTTTGCATTATATATGTTTGCAAACTGATGGACTTGAATGTTTAGATGATTGTGTGCATGTATCCAAGTGTTTCTGAAGGTACTGCTTTGCAAATATTTACATTCATGTGATATAGGAAAACCATATTATATAGTTATAACTAGCTATAAAGGACTAGGCATCATGATGCACTTCACAGTAATATCAAATAATAAAATCAAGCACCTTATTTAACCCATTCGCCCCAGATTTATGTTCTGTTCCCTGTAGTTTTTGGTGAATTTTGTTACATACAGATGGTTCCACATGTGCTCAGCCAGCAAGGAGTCTATCAGTAGACCCTAGTTACCGATCCTGATTTTCCCATTCATAGAATTGGCAGGAAAATTAATACCAATGCTATCGATGCTGTTATTATTGTTATTGATGTTGAAATTATTAAATCGTCATTAGAATATTTTAGACAATGAAATGATACAAAAAACCCTTTCCTAAAGTGAAGGAAAAGGGTAAACAGGTGAAATAGGTAGTTCTTGATAACTGGCTATTTGGTGGTTAAGAACTTGTGGAGCCATCTATGTGTAAATACAATAAATAAACGTGTATCAAAGTGGGCATGGCATCTATTGTTGCCACGTGGGGCGAATGGGTTAATATATCAAAGAATATAATTAAGTATTTCAAAGAATAACATCCTGCACTCAACTTACCAAAAATACCAAAGGCTGTATACATAATCACAGCAGAGATTGTCACCACAGCAATATTGTTCACTGTCACAGAGATCCCACTCACAGTAATGTCCAGACACCTGAAAATGAACAGAAATTAATTAATTACCTTCATATGTATTTCATCATCAACAAAAATCATAAATCTAATAGCAAATTAAAAGCATGGTAATAATGACAAAATATCAAAACAATCAGGACCTGTGGAAATTCGCTTCTCCAGCTCCCACCTTCAGCCCTACATCTGCCCCTCTTGCTTTCCTCCTTTATCTCTTTAACCCTTAGCCACCAGCTGGCATGTACCTATATGCCATGGCATGCTTGGACTATACTCCATGTGACATGTGCATAACATGGTGCACCAATCCCGTTTTCCGGGAGCATGTATGGTCATGCCACACATGCTAGGGTGATGACATGAGCTCCCAGCAGCAGGGCCTGGGCCACTATAAGTACAACCTAGAAGAGAAGGCTTGCATATCGGGAAATCACCCATAGGCATTGGGTTAAAATCTTGGTAACATTTAAGACAATACAATAATAAAAAGGACCCTTTCCAAAAGTCAAGGAAAATGGTAAACATGTGAGATACATAGGACTAATAACTGACTCCTTGGTGATTAAACACTTGTAGAGCAATCTGTGTAAATACAATAAACAAATTTATATTACAGTGGGCATGGAATGTATTCTTGCCATCCGTGCTGAGTGGGTTAATATTATAATAATAATAATAATTATTATGATTATATTAATTACAAAAATTACAATAATTATAATAATTATAATAATAAACATTATTATTATAATTATAATAATAATAATGACTATGGCATATCCTGAGACTTAGGAGAATACTGACAAGATTTACTAGACTAATAGCAAGCCTGTTCCGTTTATTCAAGAGTAAGGCAAAGCTGTGTTTTTACACCAAACTTTTATGCACTTGACTGTACTGAATAATGGGTAGAACTACTATCCAAGGTCACTATGGAGCAACACTAGGCAATATCAAGGTCAACGACCTAGACTTTGCTGATAATGTTGCTAGCCTATCAGTCTCTGGAATCTCTGGTGGTGGCTCTTGATGTATTCAGAAATGAGGTGAAGCCCTTGGGTCTAGAGGTCTCCTGGACTAAGACCAAGACCCAGGATCCTGGAGGCCTGCTGGGAAAACCTGTTTAGTCGGCTCATGCTTGTGGCAGGGCTGTCAGACCAGGAAATCACTAGACAGATTGGCCAAGCAGCAGGTGCCATGATCTCAGTCAGTATGAGTATTTGAAGATGTCAGTACCTGTGCAGAAGGGCCAAGCTATGTGTCTTCAAAGCCCTGATGCTGTCAGTTTTGCTTTATGGAAGTGAAACCTGGATGCTACCTAGTGCCTTGGAATTGCACCTTGATGCCTATTGTAACAGGTCTTTGTACCAGATTATGGGGGTACAGTTAGCAGGACCATGTGTCCAACAGATGGTTACACCATGAGACTGGCATAGGACCTGTTACTTGCACTTTCCGTGACTGCAAGATTCTCCATGGATGACCCTGCCCATCAGGTTGTCTCTTAACAAAACAATCCTGGGTGGAAGAGGCTTGAGGGACAACCTCCTTGGAAGTCATGGCTTGGGCAGATTGACCAGACCTGTTATGAAGAGCTAGAGATGGGCCAAGGGACCCTCATGGCTGGAAGTGAAGAGTGGATGTGGCATTGCACCCCAGTTAACATTTGTTGATTGAGTGATATCCAATATGGGTATTCTAATAACACTATAATGTCAACAATAATAACATTACTAATTTTAGAAGTATATAAAAAAAATCCAACAAATTTGAGGAATAAGGAAATCAGGTGAGGTAACACTGAGCTACTGACTCTTTGGTGGCTGAGCACCAATAGATCCATCTGTGCAGCAAAATTTACAGGGGACTGTGCATTTACCCGAGCAAAAAACGTTAACATACATATACGAGTGTATTATGCATATACACAATTATCATATTCCTTTAATTTTGTACGAAGTACTATAAGACAACTTAATAACTTTTAAATAATGAGAAACTTCAGGTTTCATGACCTCTAAAAAAGGACAGATCATTTCAGGAGCAACAAATATATACTTTTAAAATGTTATGAGACATACTTGGAGATGAATTATATAGGTTGATAAACACTGGTCTAGATACTTATAAATACATCTAAACACTAGTGCTCATTCACACTAGACAGGTAACTGTGATAACTTTTACTTTGTACTCTACTGACACTGGTATCTAAGGTATAAAGCAGGTAGCATCACTTCCATTTAGTCTGTTGAACCCATAAATGAAACTGGCTTTTGCCCTAAAGTATTCTGATGGCTGTTTATGGTATAGAACCTGGGGCATCATTTTATCTTTTAAACATTTTTTGCCATTTTTCATTATTAGCCTGACTCCACATCATCTCTCTAGGTAATCTTCAACTTCAACTTCAATTTTCTGTAATACACTCTGCATAGCAGGCAGGAAGATGATCTTGAGCATAAAAATAGTGTCATCCCTGGAACCTTTAGTCATAGTTTACAAATGGTACATTCCACACTCATTTGCCTGGGAACACCAATGCAAAGTAATCCCAGTCACCCCAGCCTGCAGTCAAAAAAAAAAAAATTGACAGCACATTCCTGTTTTCCATGATGGCAAATTCCCACCACGCAACCCTCAGTCAATTTTTTTTTTTTTATGCCATGACAGGAGATCAAAATACAACATATCTATGTATGTATGTATGTATGTATATATATATATATGTATGTATATATATATATATATATATATATATATATATATATATATATATATATATATATATTATCTATCTATCTATCTATCTATCTATCTATCTATCTATCTATCTATCTATCTATCTATCTATCTATCTATCTATCTATCTATCTATCTATCTATCTATCTATCTATCTATCTATCTATCTATCTATCTATCTATCTATCTATCTATCTATCTATCTATCTATCTATCTATCTATCTATCTATCTATCTATCTATCTATCTATCTATCTATCTATCTATCTATCTATCTATCTATCTATCTATCTATCTATCTATCTATCTATCTATCTATCTATCTATCTATCTATCTATCTATCTATCTATCTATCTATCTATCTATCTATCTATCTATCTATCTATCTATCTATCTATCTATCTATCTATCTATCTATCTATCTATCTATCTATCTATCTATCTATCTATCTATCTATCTATCTATCTATCTATCTATCTATCTATCTATCTATCTATCTATCTATCTATCTATCTATCTATCTATCTATCTATCTATCTATCTATCTATCTATCTATCTATCTATCTATCTATCTATCTATCTATCTATCTATCTATCTATCTATCTATCTATCTATCTATCTATCTATCTATCTATCTATCTATCTATCTATCTATCTATCTATCTATCTATCTATCTATCTATCTATCTATCTATCTATCTATCTATCTATCTATCTATCTATCTATCTATCTATCTATCTATCTATCTATCTATCTATCTATCTATCTATCTATCTATCTATCTATCTATCTATCTATCTATCTATCTATCTATCTATCTATCTATCTATCTATCTATCTATCTATCTATCTATCTATCTATCTATCTATCTATCTATCTATCTATCTATCTATCTATCTATCTATCTATCTATCTATCTATCTATCTATCTATCTATCTATCTATCTATCTATCTATCTATCTATCTATCTATCTATCTATCTATCTATCTATCTATCTATCTATCTATCTATCTATCTATCTATCTATCTATCTATCTATCATATATATATATATATATATATATATATATATATATATATATATATATATATATGTATATATATATATATATATATATATATATATATATATATATATATATATATATATATATATATATATATATATACAGTAAGTCCCCAACTTAAGAACATAATGGGGACCGAGAGGCTGTTTGTAAGTTGATTTGTTTGTATGTCGAAAGTCGGGTCTCCATTACCTTTTTTCCCATTGTTTTAAAGTTTTGTTTACATTAAGAATACCTGTAAATAAATCCCAATACGTACGACATACCTTATACAGTACCAGACTCTTGAACTATATTTGTGCCCGGGAAATTTGAAGTTTGCGAGCATCTTTCAAACAATTTTTTGGACCTTAGTACTTAAAAAATTTTGTTTGTATGTATGGAATGTTCATAAGTAGAATGTTCTTAAATAGGGGACTATCTGTATATATATATATATATATATATATATATATATATATGTATAATATGTAATATCTATATATATATATATATATATATATATATATATAATTTTGTTGTTGTTGTTGTTCCTTTTATTGTTAAACTCCATGCAAATCTAAAACTTGCTGATCTTCACTTCAACATATTTCTGCATTTTTAATTGAAAATGTCAATTATGAAATCAATATTGTAATTTTATACAACAATTATTAACAACAAATGGCTTGGGGGGGAAAATCAAGAACTGGAACACTAAAACTAGCAAAATATCCCACACAGCTAACTTAACTGATCTGTAATATTATCTGGCTACAGGCAAAGGCCAAGGAACATCCACTAAGTGTCTTTTGGACTTCCCTGCCCATTTTTCACTGAATAAGACCAGTCTGATGCTCCCAGCTGTATCAACTTGTTGGCTTGTTGGCTCTTGTTCAAGCACCAAAGGTGAGAAACCATCAGTTAGTAACTAGGTAAAAAGTAGGCCTGTGTCACATTCAAACCTCATTAATAAACACCAGTTGGTTTCCATATAACCAAATTGGATTAAACTATAATAAATTGCAAATCTTTTTATCCCACATAGCTTTTCCAGACAAAATTAGGTAATTCTTTAGTTGCACACACCCATCCAATTGTGCTATTATCATTCCTTCTTTCAATTATCCCCACTATCAGATGTACAAATCTCTTGTTATTTTCCGTCACAAAAGATATAAATGAAAGTATTGGTAATGTTTACTGAGTGACGGCATGCCTCTGAGATTAAGTCCCTATTATTCTAGCTATTCCTAGGAAATCCACAAGCGCTGCTGATGAACCAAAAGTCTTCCCAACACGGGGCTTCAAAACCCGGTCACCATATTTCCCTTTTGGGGGTCTGCTCCCTGAACCCACCTGACTGCCGTAGACTCGCTCTCCACACGTCATTCGTCATGATCTATTTTCTTCATTTCTGGCATTAGTTTTTGTCTATACCAATTACTATAGCAGTTATATAGCAATTATTATAGTATACTATACCAATTATTCTTACGAATTAGTACATGTTATAGTGAATGTAAGTTTTCGCTTTGATTTTAATGGTGCCATTACATTTTTCTGTACAAGTATAACAGAGTAGTACGCATTGAACAACTTCCTTATCATCAACATGCGAAGGGAATGCCATAGATGAAAAGTGCCGTACTTGGCCATCCCAGGCACATTCTACCTTGAGCTACATGGCTGCGGGGACACTGCAACTACACCCATACATTTCCGCACAGAATACGAAGGGGGGGTGGGAGAAAAGAGAAAACAAAGGTGAATTCCACAAAAAGTCTTCATCAAGACGAGACTAACAGAATGTGATAACAAAGGAAACGACCACAAAATGCATAAATGCAACAAACCACGCGTCATAAGAGATAGAAGCGGTGTGTTTGCAGTTTCAGAGCAACACAGAAATTTTAGTGTCAATGAAAATATAATAAGGAAAAAACATCTCTAAAAATAAATCCTTATCAGTCATTCACAGTTCAAAACAACAGACACACAAATCCAACCACACAACTATTAGGAACTAGGAACCAACACGAACAAACAATAAATAAAAGAAGATAAAAAAAAAAAAAAAATCCCCGACGACAAACAAAACAAAAAAACAATAACAAATCCGTGGCCTTCACCCCCCCCCTCCTTGACAGCTCATCACTTCCCTTCATTCTACAAAATCCACGCCTTAATTTACCACTCCGGTGACGCTGACGAGAGAAACGAGCCTTAAGGGTGACGCTCGCATCTTTAAGGGTGGAAGAAGCGGTTAATTGAAGCACAAGATGGTCATTTTTTCCTCCGTGAAAGAAGCGCTTCCTCGTCCCTCCTGAGCTTCTCGCTTCGTCTGTTTTTTTTCCTTTTTTTCTTTTTTTTCGGGGGGGATCTCTGCTATTGTTGAAATTATTATTATCTTTTTGTTTTTGTTTTGTTTTTTGTTTATGTTGGTTTTGTTGATTTATTCGTTTCAGTTTTGTTTTGATTCAGTGCTTTTTTTTTTCTTTTTTCTGTTGGCTTTTGAGTTCTCTTAATTTCTGCTTTTGTGTGTCTTTGCTGTTTGTTGTTTCTGTTGTTGTTACGGCTGTTGTGTTTGTTGAAATCATTGATATTTAGTATGACTATTTTCCTTTTCTTATAATCATAACATATAATTTTATTTTGTTATCTAAACACGACGTCAGAGCAAGTGGTTTCTTTGGAAAAAAAAATATGGAAAAGTCAAAAATTCAATTCCATTAGACAACTCAAGAAAAAAAAACGGAAATATCAAAGGAAATAATAAAGGAAATGAAATAACAAAGGAAAGTTACAAAACAAAAGACTCGAACGCAATGTTAGTAAAGCGCCAGCTGAAGGGGAGCAGCTGAGCGGCGGACGTGCGGCGCCTTCGGTCTCTTTCGCTGGTTTTCCGCTGCAATGGTGTGCGAAAAATGCCAGAAGAAACTTGGGAAGGTAAGGGTAGCCGTAGAGTTGTTGTTTTTTTTATGGGGAGAGACATATGTTTCTTGAGAAAAAGTTGCAGTTGTGGATAGTTTTCAGGTTGCTTTACACGAGCGAGTCGAGTTGCGTCAAGTCAAGGCGGTTCGTCAAAGGTCATCGCCAAGCTATTTTAACATTAATCTGTATGGATCTTTGAATAAACTGTTTACACCAAACGAGTGGTCCGATTTTTCCACATAACTCACAGTGAGTCCGTCGTGGTGTGAGCATCATGCAAGTAGAGTGCCTAATTGGCTCGTGTGAGAGGGCCCTGCTCTATGAAATGTCAGTTACTGACACTTGTCAAGAGAGGGAAGATACACCTCAAAATTATTCACCTCCTATCATCAAAGCAACAAGTGATGTTGAAACCAGTATCCGAAGAAAAGACCATGCAAAATCAGTTGAGGCGTGGGCCGAGATCCAAGGTAGGGGTGATCCCCTACATTGGGCCTGAGTCTCTGCCTCCCAAGCACGCCCACAACAACAACGAGCAAGGGATGTAAAGAGAGAAAAGTCGAAATGAATCTCATCAAATGACTCTTGACTTGACACAACTCACTTGTTGTAAAAGCAACCTGAATTTCTTTTAAAAAAAGTTTCACTGGAATTGTGCTCTTTGGGGGGAAATGTGACAAAACAATATATGTGTAACATTGGTAAGTAGCAAACAAAAATATTTGACTTTAGGAAGAGATGTATTAAACTTTTATAGATTTGTAATGAACATCAACAAGAAAATGCAATTAAGTTTTACATGTGTGATGGCTAGATAATTCAAATAAATGTTATGTAGAACACTTGAGGGGCAAGGGCTAGACAACTTAACCAGAACACCGTGCCCAGACTCCCCCAGGCTATTCATGATTGGCACAAAGTCAGCCTTTCATCCTTTCAACACAGCTCTCACACCTTAGGAAATGGATAGTAGAAGTGGTTTGAGAGAAAGAAATGAAAAGGGGAAGGGGAAAAGACCATGCAAAATTAGGCGAGTCAAGTTATGAGGTCCAGGGTATAGGGTGATCCCCTACATTGGGCCTCAGCCTCCGTCTCCTAAGCCCCCCCCCCCCCCAACAAGGGATTGGGGTGGCCACTAGTTACAAGAGTCAAATGCTAATACATATTGGTATTAGTAATGAGTATCAGATTACTAAAGATGAATATAAAGTTATTGTTATGTGTCAAGTATGTTATGCTAGTGATACATGACACTTGCTCATTGTTCACTCTATTAGCTAATGTATGAATGGGCAGTACTATCAAAAAAGTCCATGTCGTGTGATACTATCCTTAATATAATCTTTTTCCTAATCATATTTCAGGTCATTACCCCTGACACATGGAAAGATGGTGCTCGTAACACAACAGAAGGAGGAGGACGAAAGATCAACGAGAACAAGCTCCTCACAGGGAAAAAGAACCGCTTCAACCCATACACTGTAAGATATTTGCTAATGTTTAACCCTATGAGTGACTGGCACCATGACCACTTTTGCCAAGACACTAATTGCAATTTGGCCATGGGGTGAAGCTGAATTACATGCTGGTGCCAAACAAAGCTCAATTTGGATTGGTGCAAATGTGGCATTCATTGAGCAAAGCCTACAACTACTTATTTAACCCCTTGGATCCAGATGCTTCACTGCCAGCACATGAGCATTAGGCTTACTTGAGCAGCTCTCATGGGCGTGTGGATTGTAGGCCTGGCACACACATACATTTGTGTCCAGTGACAAGACTCCATGCCTCCTCTTTGCATTGTTATTTTCTCTTTTACTGTATAAGTGCTTATAAGTTTTTTGCCATTTTCCAATGTGTGTTTGTCATTTCATTTCCAGATGATAATAGATTCCATATCCTCTCTTTGGGTAGTCCTTAACTCCATGCAGTAATAATAACAATAAGTAATATTTTGTTTTTAAGTCATTTTAAAATTTTCTCTACTGTTAAATTTTCTGTAATACAATATGTGCCACTAGTCACTATAGACAGGAATAGGCTCTTGAGGATGAAAATAGCCAGCAATCTTCCAGTCATGGCTCACAGGTGGTACATTCCACACTTGTTTATCAATGGAAATTCTACAAAAGCCCCTTCCTAAATTCCCATTGAGTCTAATCACCCTCCAAGAGTTTTGTGCACTCATGGCAAGTGATTCCTATCACTCTGGCCATCAACAGAAATTCTCATGACTGCAAGTTCCTGTCACTCCGTTCCCTCAGCCAAATTTTCTCAAGGCATTCATGTGACTTATCTCTTCTAGCCAAATTTTTTTATGGGATGATGGTCACATCATCTGGATCACAGGAGTTAAATGTGCTACATGTCAAAAGTCATACAACAGTTTAGGATAGCATGGTATTGTAAAGGGCAAAAAGGGGGGGAGAGAGTATGAGTAAGTTGTCAAGTCATCCAAAACCATAGGGTTAGTTTAGAAGTTTTATTTGAATATATTAATAAAAAATGCAGGTAAATTTGTAGACACTGAGAGCTGGGTAAATCTAAGAGGAGAAAAATGATACATTACCAAAGAAAAAGACAATATATAAGGATCAGATTCTTTGTGATAATTGTAGTATATAAGGATCAGATTCTTTGTAATAATTGTATATTTCATCTTTTCCAGGCCAAATTCGTGGAATGCAGGATCTGTAGGACAAAAGTTCACCAGGCTGGATCCAACTTCTGTCAAGGATGTGCTTATAAAAAGGGCATTTGTGCAATGTGTGGGAAGAAAATCCTTGACACAAAGAGCTACTGCCAGTCCTCTGCCTAAAAAAATTATATGATTATGGAGACATCTTAAAAGTTTCCCTATTATATAGTTATTATATAATTTTAGTAAACTCTTTAGTTGTATGTGGAGGTTTTTTATATCTGGTCTTTTGTAATGTACTAATATATTTTTTTTTTCCAGTGCACTTATGTCTTTGATATATTCTAACAGTATTCATTGTAAGTTTTTTTTTTAGTTTTTTATTAGTATCCAGAACTTTTTTACAATGATTGAAAAGGAGCATTTTAAGATGTTGCTAGATACCAAAGCCTTTGAAGGTTGTACATTTGAGGATCGAGATTGATTTTTCTAAGATCTATGTGTGAAATGTAAAGAGACACTTTTATTAGATAATATTGTGTTTGGAGTCTCAGGAGCACGTTTTCTGCAGCATTATGTCTCTAGAATATCATTATCCTTTACTTTTCCAAAAGGCCATCTTCATGTTTATGAAATACTCAGTAATGATATTAAGAACATTGTAATCAGGAGTATGTTTAGCTAAGACTGAGGAATGTTTGTCCTCAAATAAAAAAAAAAAAACTTTGTTAGAGTGAATGGAAAAATAAATGGTATCTCATCACCCTTTTAGAGAGGAAATATTAAAGATGTAACTGATTCAATTTTTAATTGATAAAGATTATTGTATATATCTTCTTCTCTTTTAAAACCCACCCATTAGAAAACACTGAAATGTTGAGATATGTTACGAGTAACAGTCACTTGAGAGAATGGAAATAAACGCTTGAATAATGTTTGGAGTAAAAAATATCAATATCTTACACTGACTGTTATCCAAGTTACAACTCACATTTGATCAGGGCAATCAAGAGAGGAATAAATAAATTTCTGGTGAATAGTAATAAAGTAAGAGTGCAGCCAATTTAATTTTTAGACAGTAAGCATTTTATCCCCATCAGATAGTGTTATTCAATACAAATTAAGCAAATAAACTGACAAAGAAAAGAGGAGCATAATTATTTTATGGAACAAAACCAATAAGGGGTGTTAGACGTGATACGAAGACAAACTGCTACAATTATTCTGCATATCTATTTTATGACAAGTGGTCACTAATGAAATATTTGTCTTTGTTCAGTATTTGATGGAGTTTAGTAAATGGTATCATGCTCATTTCATCTACTGCCAGCAAAGTCAGTATTATTTATCATTATTATTCCTCTGTTGACCAAAGTTTTTAAGCTAACCTTAGTTGATATAATACTGTAAATCACAATTTACTTTACTATACTCTAAATTCTTTTTATAACATATTAGTTTCATAAAACAGCTGCTTTTACTTTTGCTACATACTCTTGTATGATCTCAGCAAAAGGTTTACAGTATCTTGAAAGGTGAAAAATAAGCACAGGAACCAAACAATTCTTTTAATATTCTAACAACAGCACGAAGAAATCCATATATGACTTATTCATTCCAATAAACTCCTATCTTCACATTGCACTACTATTGCACAACAAAACACTGGTATCCATTTAATTCAGTAACTTCTCAAAGATACAAGAAAGGAATATGGGATTAAGAATAACACTCACCATTCAAAAATATTTCCAATATCATGTACAAAACAACCAATTACAGTTACTTAG